CCTTCCTCAGACAGTGCCGCTCTGAAAAGCTAATTCCTAAATTTGTGAAGGTCAAGTTATCGAAAATCTTAAACCAGTTTTCAGGTATTATCTAAAACATGAAGAAAAAACTCCTAAAAGCAACCCCGAATTCCAAATATCAAGAACTGGACTACTTACAAAAACTCAAACAGAAATTAGACCACCAACTAGCCTGCTACCTCAAAACAGATGATACGGCAATATACAACGCGCTATCAATCAAAACAACTCATTGTTGAATCAAGAAAAGAAGTCTATACACAATAAGAAACTAGATCAACTAAGGAAACTACCACAACGTAAAGTGAAACACAACAATACAGCTCAACCTAATCTGACCGGACAACAGATCTGACCAGACACTCAACGACACAGATCTTCAATTTCTAAACAAAGGCCTCAACTTTTCCGTCAACCACAAAACAACTACATGCCTAGAGTTCAAGGCCTGCCTAGAAGATCTAGCCAGAAACTAGTGACCCACTACATAAAAGAACAAAAGACCACCTCTACCTCAAACATCCTCCAACTACAGAAAGAAGAAATCCGTGACATCAACCAACAAACTTTTATTACAGGCAACTACAACAAATTGTGGTTTCCCGAAGTTCCCAAAAACTGTATTTTAAATAACTTTTTTAAAGAATTCTCGAACAAGACTATTAATATAGTCAACCAATCCTGTAAACTGAAAAGTAACCTTACAACTAACGAGATCAAATCCATTTCTAATTGAATAAAGACACTAACATTAAAATTCTAAAAGCTGATTAAGGCAACACCACTGTCATCATGAACAATTCAAAATACATCGACAAAATGAATGACATCCTTTCCGATAAAAAGAAATTCAAAGCCATCCCAAACAACCCAACAAACACACACGAAAAACAACTAAACAGAACTTTATTACAAATGAAAAAAGATAATTTAATTACTGACGATCTTTATTTTTATCTACTTAAAATTGATTCACGCACACCACAACTCTATGGCATTCCTAAACCACACAAACAAGACTGCCCCCTACGACCTATACTATCCACTTATGATTCATTCAACTACAATCTTGGCAAATGCATAGCCTGAGCTCTAACACCATATGTAACATTTGCAGGTTCATTTTTTAAAGATGCCTTCAATTTCAAATATACACTAGAACAACTAAATTCGAAAGCCTTAATGGCTAGTTTTGATGTCGTATCACTCTTCACCGAAGTCACCGCCAATGAAACTTGTAATATTGCACTCGACCTCTACATTTATGACCCCAACAAGTTAATGCACATCCCTAGCACACTTTTTACTTCTCTCTTAGAATTTACAACGACTAAAACCAACTTTATTTTCAACAACGAACATTTTCTTCAAAAGATGGTTTAGGTATGGGCAATCCTGTTTCGCCCGTTCTTGCCAATATATTTATGATCCAGATCCAAACACAAGCCATACATTCTGCGCTTCATCCTCCACTATATTGGTACAGATATGTCGATGACACTTTTGCTGGTTTCACTTCTACAGAACACACACTAACTTTCTTTGAACACATAAATTCGATTCATCCCAACATCAAATTTACCATAGAACACGAAAACAATAAACAGTTATCTTTTGTTAACCTCAGAATTATTAGATCGGACACACAGTTTAAAACCAAAATTCACCGCAAGAACACACACTGGCCTCTACACCACACAAAAACCAATACACTTAAAACCTCATAAACATAGCCACAAGATTCTGTTCAATGGACTACATAAATGAAGAAATTAACCACATAAAGCATTCCTTCATTCACACCAATAAATTTCCACCAGTTATTGTTGAAAAACTGTCCAACATTCTCCACAACAAAACTCAACTCACGAACAAAATTGATACTAACAAACCCAAGAACAGAACATT